CCTGGCTGTTGTTCCCAGACAGACTCTCTTCTTCTTGGGGAAACCTCAGTTCTGCTATGAAAACCTTTCAACAGATTGAATCAGGCACACCTAGATTATCTAGGATCCTCTCTGTTTCCTAAAACAAATTGAGTATGGATGTTATAGGCTTACAAAATATCTCCACAGAAGCAGCCAGATTAGTGTTTGACTGAAGAATTGGGGACTGTAGTCTAGCCAAGTTGACATCGAAAGCTAACATCATAGGAGCTAAGATGATACAGTCCATATAGATTGCTTTCTAATTAAATCTAATAAGGGATAGAGTTGAGGGAACCAAAATTGTAAGTATGTATTACTTTTATAATTTTTAAAGGCTTTCATTTTTTTTTTAACTACAGAAATTGATGCATTTATCACATATCTCAAGAGAGAACAACGCAGGAAAAGTAGACTACATAAATGTGTGGCAGTCCCTTCTATTCAATTAGTATTCACTTAGAAGGCATCTTCAGCAAATGTGAGACCACAGTCAGTTAAGAGCAAATCCCTAGGTAAATTGCAGCTTTCTGCATATCGGTGAGAACAAGATTCATGTGTCCCAGGCGAGGGATATACAAAGTCAGCAGACTGAATGTGAAAATGTTGGAGCCAGATCTGTCTTCTCAAGCTCTTTCTCTAGAAATATCTGTGCCACTGGCAGTGTTTGAAGACTGTCCCAAAACACTATCTTGGGAGCATCTGCCCATGCCAGAGGTGCCCGACCTTCCTCTGTTTGTCATGCCCTTAGAGACTCAGTAGGTTTTCATGGTGTTCCTAGGCCAAAAGAAATGTGGTTTTGTTTATCAAATACTTAGGTCTAAGCAGTTTTATGTATTAAATACTTAGATCCAAGTAACACAATAAGAATGAATGCCTTAGCAACTTAATAGCCATTTGAAAAGATAGTTCACAGAAATTGAAAGAAAAACGATTTTTATTTCATTCTTAAATAACTGCATCTCCTGTAGCAAACAGATGTTCGTTCACATGCTAGTTGTTTTTCTATCACAATAACCAAAAACCCATCTTTGCAAAGCTATGTCATCAAAAGAAGGAGAGCACAAGCCACGATAACATCATGAACTACCTTGCATTAGCAGTTCACGTAGCATCCAACAGATAGTATCACTGTAATTTCCTCAAAGATGTAAAATTTCCCACTGCACCCCTGAGAGCCTGTTACGCCCCCGAGTACCTTGGTGCACAGTTTGGGAACTGAGGGGTCTAAACATTTGTACAAGCTCCCGTTTGAATTCTGAATAACACAATTAAAAACTCGAACATTTTCAAGATCAAACCAGACTTTCTAGATATTTCTAGATATTTCCCCATTTTGTATGAGACAGATTCAAGTTATTTACCTAGGAGGCCCCACTGCATGGTATCTCTAAATTTAAGTCATACTTTCTGCATAGAAGCAAATTAACAAGTACATTAGTGTTAAATTATCCCCAGCGTATTCTTGCAGCTTCCGCTTGCCTTTTGCCAGGCTGAAATGGCGAGGCCTTCATTTCTGTGTGCTCTTCCCTTTCTGTTATTTTTTTAGTCCATTCTTTGTAGTACAGTGTGAAAGGGAATTTAATGTCTTTGTGTCAGGAAAGGCCTATTTATTCTGACAAACTGATCAACCTCCAGGGTGCTCCTCTACCATGAAACTGATTTTATATCTCATCCACTAGCTAATAAGATGTGAAGCGTTTTCCCTGTCACGCCGAGAGATCAGACTTGCTTCCATAGAAAGCGGTGGGATGAAATCACACAGCAAGCTCTTCTCGGTGACTGAAGCACGCAGTCTACGTTTTTCCAACATGAGCACGTAAGAGCAGAGCAATGGCTCTGAGGCAAACCCACAGATGAGCGGAGACAGTAATAAAAAAAAAAATGGTTTTAATCTGAAATGGAAGCCCTGAGATGCACACTTCATTCGCCGTTCCCTGGATCAGCTTTCGGTTCAGGGAAAACGAAAATGCCAGGAATTAAAACCTGATGGTATTGGCGAATTGCCTAAAGACATCCTGACAGACAGCCCTCTCCCGCCAATCTGAATCTTTAAATAAAGTTTACATCCTACAAACTTGAGGTCAGGCTCTTTGCTGTGAGAAGAAGTAAGACTACAGTATCCTGAAATTGATGGATAGAAGGTAGATTGTATCGTATCTAAAGAGACCTTTTCTGGGGCGCCTGGGTGGCGCAGTCGGTTAAGCGTCCGACTTCAGCCAGGTCACGATCTCGCGTGATCTCGCGTGATCTCGCGTGAGTTCGAGCCCCGCGGCGGGCTCTGGGCTGATGGCTCAGAGCCTGGAGCCTGTTTCCGATTCT